TTAAATGTTAAATAAACATACTTATTTTAATACAAATCTTTATTAATCCCTTCAAAGTACGCTACTGAGCTATTACAAGCGTGCCAACGCCTAATCCAATTTTCGATACACTTGTTATAAGCCTCGGTTGTGTTGGTATTTAGTGGCTTCAGCGAATTCGGTTCGGCCATTCACTACTTGTATATTGTTGCACACTTCCGACGTCCTATTCATAAACCCACGTCTCGTCATCAGTAATTTTGCGTTTGACTAATGTAGGGTCCGCAGCATCGCGTTTGCGACCTCTACATGAGTGTTTTGCAACAGATTCACATCGTTTGGTACGACACGCTGTATACCTAAAACTTTAAACAAAATGATTAAATTGATCCATAAGATAATATATGTTGAGATCCTATGTTAAACTTCTGATGCCAACACTACCATTTCCAAGCAGTGTTTCTTTAACGAGTCCGGGCCAAATATTATCAGCATGTACAACGATTAATTGAGAACATAGACTGATTTCGTCAGTTTGTAGTGTGTTTAGGAGTTACTTGGATTTCATCGAACAAAAAACGTCCAATTTTCAATAAATTTTTTTTCATATAAAAAAAATATTTTATTCAAAGTTTTTATTAGTACAAAGTTACATATTTTACAAAAATTTTGTGAAATTTTCAGAAACAAAATTATAAAAAACTTCATATAAAAAATATATTTTATTCAAAGTTTTATTAGTACAAAGTTACATATTTTACAAAAATTTTGTGAAATTTTCAAAAAAAAAAATATTCAAAACTCGTCCATTATGACGTGATTTCCAGCAGTCCCTCGGTAAAAAGGTGCCTCCGCGGTGACAGCAGAATTTCTGACAGGTTCATCAAAAGTAAAAAGAAAAAAATACGTTTTTGAACTATGACCATTAACTAAAAATTAACTAGGAGTTTGGAATTATTTGTTTTATAATAAAGTGAAAATTGTATTTTTGGCAGACGTTTTAACAAAATATAGAATAGAGTAGTCATTGCTCACGTTAATATAGAGAAATGAAGAATTATAAATTGTAGACAATGTAAGTCAATCAGATGCTCAATTAAAAAACAACCTAATATCCTTGGAGACTACAAGTACTCATACCAGCCCTTGAAGAACCCGGTGATCTTCATTTCTCCAGTTAAAATAATGTAATATAAAATGTCATAAATTATATGTAGGTAAAAAATAAATTTATTACACATATTTATTGTAGGCGCACTACCACATTACAGTGCTCGATATGCATAATTTTTAAGAGATTTCAATTTGACCATGGGATATAAAGAAAATAAAACAGTGATGGTAGCTAATCAAATACAATCGCTTATAGTTACATACATATTCATTGTAGTAATTACTCACTTCTTTTACGGTTAATTGTCTATAAAGAAGCTTTTATATGGACCAGTTTCAACATAAATTATGCAATATAGCACTGAACCAACATTTAATGGAAGTTTTTAATTAATTTAACATACAACCAGTGATGATGTCATCTCAAATCAAATAAAAAATGTTGAAAAAGTTTTAATAACTGACACCAAGTAATCATAACTGACGCTTCCATTTAAAGTTTCGAAATAAAATTTTAGATTAATACTATAAATTAAATAAAAAACTTGTATGCCAAAAATGTTGCATTTACATGTGAAGCCCTGCTCCGATTTTAGCCATTCAAATATGAAGTTTTTATTAAATATTTTTAATGTCATATCTAATAAAAAGTTATGATTCTAAAATTTACCAATAAGCATTAGCTAAATGAATTAAATGTATTTATTTCTATATTTAATATTTTAAGTACTTTTAATTCGGAAATTTCGTGACAGCAGATATGCTTGAATAATATTACATAATATTGTATAAACAACTTAAACATATAATGTAAAATATATAATATTATTTATGATAATATATGCAATTATATATACTTTCTTTATTTTTCTATTTTTAGAAGCGACAAATATATCGTGAACAAGTCTTACCGCATGCGGGTGGCAAAATTCCCGACACAGCTTTCGAAACCGATCGGCTCTTTTTGAATCGACTGCAATCTAACGGTATCTCTGTACCAGATGGAGTGCTCACTGAACAGCGAAATCCACAAGTAAGTATACAAATTAAAATATGTTTAATATTATATAGTCTTTATGTATGTGATCGAATAAAACTCACTGAACAAGTTGTTATTTGAAGTCGAGCTCTAATTTTGTATAACCAAAAAGATCAGAAATCAATGAGAGATTTATCTATCTTTATCGTTTTAGCTAACGGGATCTATATTAGTGCTATTAAATATTACCTAAAAACGTTGGGCCCTCGTTTTTTTTAGGCCGTAAGGAGTGTTTAAAATGCCTTCGCCCCATATAGGGATCGTCATTCACGTGAGTGGTGTACCCACTAAAATACTCCTCACTTCTATTATGGATTTTTCCCTTGCCGCGGGACTGCTTTCGCGTTACTTCAGTGCAAGGTTTCCAAGATGAACCCATTGCTGGTCAGTTTCTACTCTCTTGGATGCCTACAATCAGCCGCAATCAAGCTGACTATCTTCTATTGAGTGTAGGATCCGCGTCCATGTCCATTTTTTCAGTGCGTAGTACATATCCACGTACGAGGAAATGTGCTGCCAGTTTTCGCCGCCGTTTTCTATTAGGTTTTCTCCTACTTTGTTTTCTAAAGTTTTGCGAGTTCCGTATATACATGCAGGGGTTTCTGTTTCCCATATTGTAAAGGTATTTTCGAAAGTACCCTTGGCCGGAAAGCATCTGCGTTAAGTACTAGTTCACTTCGCGTTGTTTTCTACTGCGCCATATCTCTATATCTTTGATCAATTTGGCGGTCCATCTTTCTTTGCGCTCCCTTGTTCACCCTTATTCAGAGTTCGAGTGTTTGCTTCCTTTCCTGTTGTCTTGAGGGCATGTGTAATCAAAAAAATCTTCCCTTAAGAATCCATCACTTATATAGGATAAAATATTGGACACTATATTTAGTATACTCTGTTAAGCTATTTTACAACCGCTAAATGGACCAGTTGTTGGTACAATATACAACTGAAGACAGGTTGGATATATGGTATAAGTTCTTGATTTTTATGATTATTTTTATGATTATTTTTTTTTATCTAGGTCTATCACTATCACGATAAAAGTCACAGAGTGCTCTTCCAAATAGCGCTCAGCTCGGATGGTCGTTACACGCCCGTCGCAGGCAAATACCATCACCAGAATGCACCATCGATTGAGACTACTTACCTCTATCCACAAATACACGGACACTTAACCGATGCAACCCCCGCAAAGAGCGCCTATCCGACATACAGACAACTGCAGTTACACAACTCACAACTCAATCAAGTGAAACTGCAGCCAAAGAAGAAGAGTATATTTTCATTTCGGCATACATTCATTCATAAATGCTTTATTAAC